ATCAGAATGTCTCTGTATTTCATGCCTGTTTTAACTGGTCCTTTCATTCTGTAAGACATAGGTTCATTAGTAATCTGCACGTTTAAGTATTGCTAGTCATTAGTTAATAACTTGTTTATCAACTTCTGTTTCCAAGTACTGTTTACTATATTCTGTTGAGACTGTTTTCTTACAAACTACTGATAGATAAGAAAAAGAAGAAATGTTGAGAAGCAGATGTTGTATGACCAAGTACCCAGCTGTGTACTGACAAAATGAATCTCATGGTGATTAGTTAACAATTCCTTGGCAGTCAGAGGCATATGTAAAACAGTAAACACAGCATGGGGAAATAATAATAACAAAAAATTAAAAGCATTTCTAAGCTTAAAATACTGGCAAAATCAAGTCAACCATCTGTGTTACTGAAGAGCTGACTGTGTTGTGGGTAAGTCATACCAAGGTCAGTTGAACTGACATAGAAGTCCTTAACCCTTTGGTAACAGAATATACCATTTCTTTTTTCTAAGCATGAAGTCTATGGTAATTTAAGTGATGAGTGCCACACTGTGAACATTTGAACATAAACTGTCAATAAAGGAAAATTGTTAGTACTGTAGGGTTTTGTTTACCTGCTATTGAGATAAAATGTTTAGTCTGAACTAGTAAAACACTAGAACTGAAAAGACAGGCAGTCATTTAAAGTTTAAGTTAATTATTGTAATGGAGTTGCCATTTTGTATTTACAGGTGAAGAGTATGTAAAGGAGAAAGATTAAGATCATTATCACCTTCTGGCTATATAATTTAGTAAAGCTGTGGCTATTGTTACAAAATTATGTTCTCTGGAATAAATTTTTTCTGCAGTGCCTTTATTTTCTCATTAGAGAAATGCACGAGCATGTGCTAGTCTGTGAATGTCATCATCGCTCCCCTTTTACCCCCTTCACATGCGGGTCTTGCCCCTGCCACCCAACAAAATGATGCAATTGTGTGTTTTCTAATCATTTACTCATCACAGTAACAATTTGATAAGCAGATTTCCTGGAAGCATGTAAGTGGTGAACATTGCTTTTTAGCATTTGGGTATAAGGGGTTTTATTTGAGCGAAGAAGTATTTAGAAAAATCTCTAAACATTAATTCTATATTATATTTTTCTCTACCAAAAAAATAGAACAGAGCCTTTTGTTCGTATTGTTCAGAGGGTCTGGTTTTTAGTGTCAGCATTTCTGAAGACATATCAGACTGAGGTAATGCTAAGTTTTAGCATTTTATTGAAATAACTGTGGAAGGGAACTTCAAATTCGTGATTTAAGAATAAGTATGCATTTTCTCATTTTTAAATATATTTTGAAATTTCATTATTAGCATGCTGTGTGGTTTGTGGTATTAATGTATTACATCGTTACTTAGACCTTGTTTTTCCTCCCTACAGAGGCACAGAAATTAACTGGTGACTGCGCTATACTGTTTGCCCTTCTTAGCTTGTATATGGCTTCTGCTATTGCGGATGTTTCTTAGTTATTCTTCAGTTCCACTAAAGAGAAAGGAAGATGCTGTAATAGCTACTCTGGCAATTTGCTTGGTTTTTAGATGTATTTTAGATGTATTTAGATGCAAGTAGAGAAAAAAAGTGCACTAGATTTTAAAGTTAAATGCTGAAATTAATCCATGTTTTGACAGCGCAGCTGTGTCAATTGCGCATATTGAGTATGTTGTGCTGAAGTACTTTGCACGGTCCGTCTGGAAGTTTCCATAGGTGCAGATTTCAGTTGAATCAGATTTTTTGCTTAAAGGTGTGAGATACTCCTATAAAGGAAAAACTGTTGAGTGGAGGGTGCTGTTTGGTTGGTTGGTTTTTCTTTTCTTTTGTTTACTGGCTCTTTTCTGAAAATAACAGTTAAATTGTTTTAGTCCTCACTTATGCTGTTTTATTTGTGCTCTTTCACCAATAGAGCATATGCAGGAAATGGCATAAGGAATTAAGGCATTAAATTTTCTACAAGGTATTGGAAGCACTCATCTGATAATGTAACAAGAATCGTAAGGCTTTCCATTTTCAGATTTTTTTCTTGTTTATTTTTGAAGATAGTGTAGTATGTATATGATCTGGTGTATAAGGCATAAATTGGTATACCAAGATGTGTTTTCCGTATTGAGTTTGAGCATTTTGTGTTTTTGTTTCAAGTGTAGTTCTGCAATCAGACTGAGTTTCTTTTTCCCTAGGTTGTTTATCTCAGTATTGGATGGCTGGATTCATATTTTAGCTTAGATAGGTGATTCTGCATTTGGAGGCTTTGACAGCCAGCTATCTTGGAATACTCTGGGATAGCGGGTTTTTTCATTCAGCGTTAGGACGGAAAGTATTGAGTACTGTGGTTTTCTTCTGTAGCATTACTTTGAATGTATCATATATATATATATATATGTCCAAATTGCACAGTGGCTAAGATAATTTACAGTATCTTTTATTTTTAAAATGTAAGTAGTCTTTAAACTTTCTTAGTAACTTCATGTATGTTAGAGCATATGTAAATAATAAAAGAAAAATTGTATTCCTGTCCAATTAGTTTTATCACTGCTTACACCATTGCTTACTGTATTGTGTCTCTGCATTATTTCTTATACTTCAAGAATATACTAGATTACCAAATATTGAGTTTATGTTATGTTTCAACCTAACCACAAATGTTTCTGTAAGCCTGGCAATACATTCCTTGAAAAGCCTGAATCCAGGACAGTGACATTTCTGTAGACAATAAGTCTCTGCCCAAAGAAATGAACTAATTTAAATTAATTATATTGTGAAAAACCTAATCATTCCCTGTGAAATCCTATTTCTTGTCGGATGTCAAAGATTTATGTGGTATGCGACATCTGGAAAAGAACAAAATGTGGCTGTACTATTTATCAAAGGTACTTCAAAGTAGCTATTGTCTAAGAAGCTGAGCTGTTTCTCCTGATAAACCCATAATCACTTATTTGCACAAAGAACAAAGGCAAGAAATGCATCTGTAGGAATTTAGCTGTTCCTATAATCATAGTATTTTAATTTAGCAACTTTATCATGACTGCCGTTGTTATAGGGCAAGCTTTACTCTGACCCTTTAAAGGTCTTCTCTGCACATGCATCCTTTAAATTGCTAAGTCTGCAGTTCCATTACCCCAGTTCACAATATTGCATTTCCTTTTGTGTTTTCTGTATATCTGTTTGCTTATCCAGCAGAAGCTTGGTATTTGTGGAGATGTGTAGCTGGTGGATAGAAAAATTTTTTTTATCAGTATGTGGTTCTTTTCCAGGTTCCAGCATTGCCTGTTGTGGTGAATCAGATTGCTGTGCTGGCTAGAGCCCTGCAGCTAAGATGATTTGGTTGATAGTTAAGACTCAGGATGGCTCTTAACCATCCTGTGTGTTTGCTTCCTTCCTCCTGTTGTTCTTTTTTACCACTTGCTAATAAACTAAATGTGTTAGTACAATAAATATCCAAATAACAAGGTATTGTATAATGATAATAAGTTATGTTCAGCAGTTTTGTTTCTATCATGATGAATTCAGAGAGACAAACTCCATTCTATGTTGTTTTAGTAACTGCTGGATGGATTGACAGGGAAAGGAGCTGAGGTTTGGAAGTGGCAATAATAGTCTGGGGCATGCAAAGGTAGGAAAGATAACTATTTTTGTTATTTTAACTGCCTGAAATAAGAGCACATTTAAATCCAAAGTAAATTTGATGATTTATGTATGGGAAAGAGCATGGTCATGAAACATTGCATGATTGTGGTGGTGTAAACCATGTTCTTGCTACGAAAGTGCTTTCTCTGGTTGAGTTTTTGTACTTTAATTCTCAGTTCAGATCGGAAATCTTCAGTATTTATGTCCTCCTGTCAATTTAAAACTACTGAATTGATTTACATCAGCATAGTGGTTCCTACTTTATGTTGCAGATTCTCTGCTTGCATGACTATGAAAATAAATTTTGAACAATTGCTTACAACAGGAAATGTAGTCAGTTAACGCCTAATGAAGCATATATATCAGAGCAGACTCATCTGCTAAAATACTAAGTTGCCTCAATCTCTACTACAAATGGGTAGTTAGTAATTGCATTTCAAGTTAGGTTGATAATATGCTCTTCTAGCTAGATGATATCTTGTTAAAACCAATCTGCCCTCAGTCACTGAACGTTTTGCTACCCAGCCCTGTTCTAAAGAATACAGAAGTTGAAGCTCTTTTCGTGAGCATTAAAAATCCTTTGGGAAAAGGTATGCATGAAACCCCCTCTGTTAAAACATTCTGTGTCCATACTTGTTGTGCTAATTTATGAAGCCTTACAATGTTAGTCTGTTCCTTGTCAAGTGCTTTTAAATCAGTCCTCTATTATCAATTATTGAATCAATTGAAATAAACCCATCCCATTTTCCCATTCTTGCTGCTTGAAATCTCTGTGTGGTGTTCACAGGCAGTCTGACAGATGCCAACCCTGGTGCATTGCTTTACCTTGACAGGTATACTGATACCTGGCTTTGTGTATTTTTGCTGACTTTGAAACCAGTAAAACAGGAATACTAGTAACATTTTTAGACCTGGTTGGTGTACCTATAAGGATTTCTTTAGGCTCCTTTTTTAGAAGTACTTTTTGTGTAGAACTGCAAATACAACAATTTTAAATAAGACTTTTGCTTAAGGCTTTAGAGAACGCCAGATACCTCCTTTATTTCTATTTTTTTGTGAATATGCAGTGGCTTAGACAGCTGTTCTGCTTAGCAACAACTAGCTAAAGGTATAAAAATTAAAAAAAAAAAAAAGCGCCATTGTTAGACACAAGGCAGAAGCTGCCTGGATTCTCTGATCCTAATGATTCGGGGTTCGGTAGAGGGGTTCTTGCAGTACTAGTTGCAGTAGTTTCTGACACCAAGTGTCTATCTTACCTTGCTTCTCCTGGAGCATAAGTAACAATAAGGAATGCATATCTGCCTCAGCTGCCTTAGTTTATTATTAATATAAATTAATAGGCCACACCATGGAGGTGAGCGTGAGGAGCATGCAGTTGCTTCTGACAGCTCTTCTGAATGCGCTATAACTTCCAGCAGGAAAAGGCAGACAGAGTTAATGTATTTGTGCCACTCCCACTACTTGTTTGGTGTTCCTGAATCAGCACCTTTCATATAATTACACTAGGTTAACTGCTCTGATCTGTGCCTTGCTTTGTAGGTGGATTTCTTCAGCCAAGCGTTGTGATATAACATGTTAGTAGTCTGCTTTATTTCAGTTCTTGTTTGTACTTTGGTAGAAAGTGATAGAACCCAAAAAGCTGAGCAGTTTCTTTTTTCTGATCTGTCTTGCTCTTCATACTTACTGTTCTGGGAGAAAACAATATTTCATATTTAACTGAAAATCCAGGGTGTCATAGCTGAAAGTAAATCTTATTAAATGAATACTGATGAAACAGCAGGATAGACTGTGCAAGCAAAAAGATAAATTCCTTTCATTTTTACTCTTACATAATGATAAACATAACACGTAGGGAAATTTTCTTTCTTTATGTGATTACTTCAACAACAATATACTTTTAAGATCATAAATACAGGTTTCCATGGAAAAGATGGTTCAAAATTAAGTTATAACAAAATTCAAATTTATTGAATGAAACCAGTGAGGTTCGTGTGTGTGATAGCTTAATGTGTAGTCATTCTGCGGTCAAGGTAAGAATTTACTTATATCTCCTAATGAATTTTGCTGATAGCTGGTCCATGTTTTGCTGGAAATAGAGATGAGTCTTCTATTATTACGGGTATGTCAGTTTCTCCTGTTTCTTTTTTGTATACTTCTGATTTGTAGCTGTAGTGCCAAATGAGTGGTGGAAAAGACTCTTTACTAAAATCTTCATGCAGATGAAAGAGAGAATAATTTTATTTTCTGAATTGCAAGATATTTAAAGCATTTTGAAAAATGTTGGCAGGTCTTGAATTCTTTCTTCTTACATACAGCTGGCTGTATAGAAACATTGTGTGGTTTGGATACATTTATAAGACACTGCAGTGGGTATCTGATACGTCCTCCATGCATCCCGGGGAAAATTTTAAATGATATAAGATTCCTTAAAGGTTTAACTTAAATACAGCTGATAGTAAATACTGTTATGTATGTGTGTTTTGAGAGGAAGTCTTTCACATACTATTTTTGTGAAATTGATGTGACTTAGGCAATCCTAAAAGCTGCAGTGCCATTTATACCAGAACTTTAAAATGTCAGCATTTACACTTTTCTATAACAAATTTGTCTTTGTTTAGGAATGTGTTGAAAAATCTATGAGAAACATAAACTCAGTTCCTTCCAACCATGGTTACATGAAAGAGGAGAGGGGGAGTACTGATCATACTATCTATGAGAAATACCTTGCAGCATTCTCTTTTGTTACGTGTGCATAGTGTGTATTTTCATATACTCTGTCCTCTAGCAGAGATCGAGGACTTTTCTTTGGTAGATACTCTTCATTTCTTATCTGAAGAACTGCAATGCATGCCTGCATATTGTTTACTTCTGTGTATCTCTGATTCTTAGCTCTTGTAACAGACTAAATAATGCTTCTCCCAATTCAGAAATACCATGTGAAATCTGTGCAAGTCATGCATTAATATTAGTCGTGGCCAATGCACATCTGGAGTTACAAGGATTTTGCTGACTGTACATATTGCACAAGGAGCATGAGAGCTTTTTGTGAGTTTTGTTGTTTTTTTTTTAATTAAACTTTCAGGCTTTGACTCTCTAATCAATATAGGTGTGAGCATGGCACATTAGAACCCTGATTTTGATATTTTAAATTCCTGGGAGTCCTTGAGAACACAGTGAAACACAGCTATGTTTTCTGAAACTTGAATTTATTACTGAACTGCCTCTCTCTGGCACAGCATAACTTATCTTTAGGGAATGTCACTGCTTGTGATTTTGAAATATTGGGATTTCCTGAATTCATTGAGGATCCTGTTTGAGAAGCTTCAATTATTTAATAAAAATTACAGAATTACTTTATTCCTTGGAGCAGGAATTGCTTCTTTGTAAATGTGTCTAATGCTTAGTGTTAGGGTCCCTGTCATAACTGGGAGCTCTGGGGGTATGCTGCAGTAAAACCAGGTGTCCAGTATGTCTTCGTTTAAAGTAATCTAACACGATAATTGAAATATTGTTGCTGCCCACTGGCATGGTGTTTGGATAGAAGGCTCTGCCAAGAAAATGGTTCAGAGTTTAAAACAAAGGAAGAAATCCAGAATCTAGTAGACGGAAAATAAGGTGACTGCTCTCCTTGCCTTTTTGAAGGAACTGTATAAATGGTTCTGCTCCACTATGGTTAGTGAGTGGTGAGAAGCAAGTGTAAATGGTAGGCAGAGAAATCTGAGAGAATGATGAATGTCTATAGTTGGCAGCAGTTCATGATGGCTCTTTCATTTTTCTTGGTGAATGTAATTCCAGTATGTAAAGCTGAACTGTGCATGTAGGTTTTTTGTGGTAAAAGAGCAAATCTCTAGCCCAACCGTTTTCCCAAAAAAGCTTAGTGATTGCATTTCAGTATGAGCTAACTTTTGGAATTGAACTTCTACTGTTAAGAAAATAGCTATACTCTAAAACATTCAGTGTGATGCTGAGATGTTTGAAGTGGATCTGACATTTGAAAGTTTGCTGTTATGTCTTTGAAAAACTGTATTTAGGGATTCAGTAATGAAAGACTTTGGACTTCCACTTATGAACTTAGCTAGATGAAGTAGCTTACTTATTTTACAGTAAGCTTTTTCTTTTGCCTGTGTTGGTTGGTAACTTAAAAGAGATTTGCTCAATGTTTCATGAGAACGGGAGTATAGTATATTTGTCAAACTCCTCCCCTGTCAAACTCAAGGCTGAAATAGGTTAGTAGGCTTAGAAATTATATGCTGTGTGATTGCGTGTCTTACTTTCTATGGAAAGCAGGCTAAAAATAAACCTGTATTTAATTTGAATAGGTTCTATTCTAATCAGAACACTACAAAGAAGTAGTCTTGGCATGTGAGCATGTTCCCTGCTGCCTGAAAATAATGGCATGGTCCAAGCAGATTAAATTATTTATCTAACACAGAACAGCTGCAAAGACATTTTTCTTTGGGGATATGACTGAAATGTGTCATTCTATAGAACTTCATACTGCTTAAGCAATAAGGAATGCTATGTTATATGTATATCGGTATGTGAAATGTGATGCTATCTTAAGGAAAACAGAAGGACAGACAATTTTTGTCATACAGTAAAATAGGTTAACCTGTAAATGTGCCCTCTTAGTAATCCCTTCCTAGGATATGCTATTTAAACAGTACTCATTAAGTATATGGTAATACTGAATTTACACATTAGTTGCAGATTATCAAAGGGAAGCATTAAAGGCATTAATATTAGAACAGAGTTTGGGGAATCAAATCCATTTTGTTCAATTCTGCCATGTTAATTGTGCCTTCTAGAGCAAATCAGTTAGCTGGTGGTCTCAATAAACCATTTTCTGTAAAGCGAATATTCTAATGCCCCACAAAAACTGTAGGGAATGAATGGAAGATTGCTTATAAATTTGGAAAACAAGCCATGGTTGCACTGAGGAAAATCAGCTCCGACTATTGTGTCTCAGTAACTCTTCTGGGATAGAATGGACAAATATAAGAAGGAAAACCTTTGTTCTAGCGGCTAGAAAAAATAGATACCCTCCCTTTGTTAAGTGAATTTTAATGTTAGGCTATGTAAATCGATATAGCCTTTGTGTTGTGTGTTTTTCTGGTGTGATAAGCTAGTTATATACTATAGCTGAACTGTCAACTACTAGATTTTTCTGTGCCTGCAGCAGTTTGATTGCTCATAGTTCAGATTTTCAGCTAGTTTACGATTGCTGCAGACATCATCTTTTTCACTAATATTTTCAGTTTTTTTTAAATAAGTTGTCATCTACAGAGACTTTGGAAGTTTTACATTTAGCAGAAGAGTTGCTTATCTTTGTCTTGAAGTATTCTGGTTCTGTATCTGCTCAGTTAAGACCAGACTAAATGTACTACGTATCATTATAACCTGTAATAGCTACAGAGGATTCTGATTTCATAGTTGCAATGTCTGTATTTGACTTTAAAATACGAGTGTAATAATGACAAGTATTATTAAAGTCAGAAAGCCTCTGTAGGTATAGTCAATTACATACTGATTAAAACTCAGCAAGAGATTGAGTGCATAATTAGGAAGCCTTAATAAAATGTTGTCAGCAATGTTATTGAAACAGCCTTGTATTTTTAAATTTTAGAGCATGTTTGCGTATTGCAAATTCTAATAGTTGTTTTGGCCCTGTAGATTTTTGTAAGTATACGCTTCTAACATCAGCTTGTTTAGAGCCTGTTTGCAATGTCACCATTCAGGCTTCATAATCTAGGATGATAGTTCTGATTAAGTTTTATTCTATACTGATAATTATTATACTTTATACATAAGCACTGCTGATCATCAGTGCCTTCAGTGCTTTTTTCTTTTTTTCTTCTCAAGAAAATACCAAATCAAAGAGAGGAAAGAAAAGTCTCCGTATATAATATAAAAGATCAAGCTATTCTCTTGTGGAAAGTTCCGTTGCACTTTTATTCCCCACTGTTAAGTTGAAGAAAATGGTTAAGTTTGCATTTTATTTGGGACCCATTCATTATTTTAATAATTTGAGTTGTATTCATATGTCCTTCAGTGTCTGATCTTATATCAGAAACAGCTGTATAGTTCTTTGTGCTTTGCCATTCTTCTATTTAATAATGGCTACATTGAAATACTTGGCATTATTAGAAAAAATCCTACCCATTCATAACTTTCCTGACTGTATTTGCATGGTTAATGGATTTGTGTGTGTGCGCGCGCGCAATATATCGTCGTCATCGTATCTTATACTAGTATACTTGAAGCTGGCAACTAGAAGCTTGAACTGCTTCACTCGAATGATTTTCATTTTAAAAATCCTTGAGGTTGTAGGCAGAAAAAATACTAGGCTGTGCAAGCTTTCTTGCTACCAGTGCATTACACAAAGCAAACCTAAAATGATATCTTCTGTCATTTCACAGAAATCATGTATAGGCTGAGAATCTCTATGGCTTTAATGAGATACACAAAAGAACAAGTAGCATACATTGGAAAAATGTAACCACTAGTTACTCCTTTCTCATCAACTCTCAGTGTACTAATAGATATTATTTTGTGGCTTTTTACATGCATATTTGTTTCATGTTAGCCGCACTGAATGTATGTACTTTATTTGCATAAAAAGATAAATGTGTCTTCACCAAAGTGTCCTAGACTGTAATGGAAGATAATCTTGCAATTATAACAGTGTTGTTGAAGAATGTTTGCTTGTTTTTGAGTCCAGTAGAACCCTTATCTGTGGTTTTCCTGCATATGGATTTCCAAATGCAATTGATCTTAATTTACAACTTTTTTTGAGATTTAGAATTGGTGCATTTCACCTTCATATCTTGTCTTTCAGTTTTCAAATTTTATGCTGTTCGTGGAAATGTTTTATTTTAAAAGAAGTATTGTATAAAAACCTCGGTTGGTTTGTATTCTAATTTTAGATTAATCTTTTCTTACTGCAATCCGCACATTTCAGATTGAAGGGTAAAATAGTATGCCTTTCTCACCGTAAAAAGAACTTGGAAAGAATTATCTTGATAATGTAGAATTAGTGGAACAAATGTAATGTTCCAAGTTTAAAAAAAGAAAAAAAGTTGCATTTAGGACTATTTAAAGGTTTTTTATTAGCTACCATTTGTAATTAAACTAAGATGATGTATTTATTCTCTTTATTCTCAGCAAATATGATGACAAATCTTCTAAAAGTAGAATTTATTTTATATAAATTGTTTTATAAATACGGGACTTGTCATTCACTTAATATTTTGTGGGAGAAAAAGACTAATTATAGAGTTACATTGTTTTAAAACCAGTCTTTGCTGGATGTAAAATTTAATGGAGACTTAAAGCTACCAGCAGCCCTTGCAATCTAGTCTAAATCCCTGTATAACACACAATTTAGATTTCTCAAGCACTTCCTGCATGCAGATGTCTTATTTCAGTTTGAGACCCTCTTCAGAAAGAGGTCCGTTCTCTTCAGGATGAGTGATGGGGAATCTGTTGGAGTTCAATTTTCATTTTTAGTAAAAGTATTTTTTAACTTTCACAAATTCTGTTGTTACTGTGTGTTATTGGGATTTTGCTGCTTACACCTGCCAAAGCGTTTGAACTTGGTTTTCTTGCCTTTGCTGGAGTAAGCTTAAGACACCAGTTTACTCTCAGGCTGAAAATAAGAGGTTAGGCCCCTGGTTGTAACCTGTGATTGCATAATTGATTGCAATCACAGGTTGATATAATTAAAGTTGGATCCTGAAAATGCATCTCTGTGGAGGTCTGTGACAGTGAGTAACTAATAGAAATGCCCATTTCAAATCAAACTATTTTGCACCTGAAGTATAAAACATTTCAGGGAGAGGTTGTAAATGTGAGCTGCACATGTCAATTCTTCACCTTAACATTTTTCTAGTACAGATAAGTCCCGAGGCCAATTCCCCTATCTTTTCAGCAAGCTTCATCTGTATCTGTGCAACTTTTGTAGGCTCTGACTCCTGTCCCCTCTCATTTCAGGCAACTTTTTCATATGTGGCATGTGCCACCATCTTATGAGTAAATAGCACTTTTGCCTGAGCTGGAGCTGAATGGTTTCTCAGCAGGGCTATCAAGCTGGCTTTATTTGCTTCTGATTTGAAGTATCAAACAGTTGCTGAGTTTTGTTTGTTTTGGGGGGGGGGGGGGTTGGTTGTTTTTTTTTTTTCCTCTCCTCAACTATTTTCTTGGTGTCTGACTCTTTAGCTTTGATTTACTCTAGTTATGTTTTCTTATGTTCCATCTCTGCCTTTTGGCAGCCACTTTAAAAGTTAATGTGTAGTGGTCATTGATCTTTACTATTGGTCTTTACTATTGATCTTTTCAGGATTGCAGTCATTATCTAGATATGCCTTGGCTCTTTTGGGTAGTCGGCAGCAAATGTCTTTGTGCAGGCACCGGTGACAAGAGCTACAGCTGGTGAGTGCATTGAGTTCTGAAGAAGCACGTGGTCCCCTTTCTGAGGAAGGAAAGGGTAAGGCATTAAATCACACCACAGAATCTCAGTGAAGAACGCTAGTGGTTGGTAGATACGAGTTTCCGTGCGTCCATGCGTTTTTTATGCATGCCATAAAAGGGCATTTTTTGTGGCAATGTCAGAAGAAAAAGGTTCTGTTCTAAAAACAGAAGAATTGTGAAATAGTAGTAATAACCATATGTTTCTGTGAAGGGTACCAAGTGTGCTTCAGGCTGATAAATAGCTCATTACTTTCAGAGTCCGAGCAGTTGTACTTCTTTAGCAGTTAGTCTTTAAGACTCTGAAACTTTTTTGTATAATTTGTCCAGTTCATGGTGAGAAAAGGCAAGAGAGGCATTCATACAGCAGCCTTTGAATAGTTTGTTCGAGAAGTCCTATTCTAAAAATCTGACAAAGAAAGCCTCATCCACGCTCCCTCCCACTTTTTTTTTTTAAATTCTAGATCACCTTGTTTTAAGAATGCCTCTATTTAAATAAGGTTGTGAGACTGACACTTTGAGCTCACATTTTGTGGCTGATATTGTTTGGCTGCAGGCAGCCTCCTGGAAAATAAGCAGCACGGTATGATAACTTGATATACTATGTGGGGGAAGGTAGTTCTAATACTGGAACAAGGAAGTAGACATTTTATTGAAAGTTCAAAACATGTATTGATAATCTGTAATCTGTCATATGAAAGAATTAAAGCTCCTTTAAGAGTTCCAAAGAGTGTAATGGGATGATGCAAGTATTTTTCTAGGGGAAAATTTGTGATTTTATACACTCCTGCCTTGAATATGTTCCTCCTTCAGACACTGGCATGCAAGAGGGTAATGATTTTCATATGGCTAGATGTTTCTGAAATATTTTCATGTAATACAATTAAAAAGTATGGTAAAATAAAGCACATGGATGCCAATTACGTCAAAGCATTCAGAAGGTGGAGTTGTGCTAGGGAAGACTGCGTATAAAAGCTAAGTCTTCATTAAAAGGCCAATGGTAGGCAGAGGTCCTAAGTCCATGTTGAAAAGGGAGAAAAGTTGAAAGGAATATTCTCTAGCTGTCATTTGTCTGACAGTTTTGGTAATCTCTAAAATCCTTTTTTTGTTTTAATTTTTTGAAATAAGTTTCGGGCCTGATTAGATTTTCTGCGCATAGGGCCTAGGACTTGCTTTTGGATGTCATGTGAGACCACTTCCCTATCCCTCTCTATTCTCTCATTATTCTTCCCCTATATTCCCCTGCCTCTTTACTGATCAATATATGCTCTTTATCACCTAAATGTGGATTACGTCTGCTGTTTCTGTGATATTGTTGCAGCTAGCTCTAACATTATGCTGGGGCTTCAGTTCACTGAGTTTGATGTTGTCTCAAGCCCTCCTTTTGGGGCTAGTCAGACAACTTGTTAAGCATTGTATGGTTTAATAAAAGTATCTTTGTTCCCTAGTCTTCAGTCAAATAATATATTTATTCTCTGCAGATGTTTAATACAGGGAAAATTCACATAGCCCAGGAAGCTTTAGGGATACTGTTAGTCCTAATGAACATCTGAAAGCTTTTGTAAGACCTCTTTATCTAGGAATTTAAAATATATTTTAAAAATATCTTAACCTTTACAGCATTATTCTGAATCTTAATACCTGCTTTGATACCTGTCCCTTTTTCCAAATAGTCTGGTTCGCTTTTATCTGGGATCATCAGCTTCTTATTCTCAGGACTTTTCCTTTCTTTAGTAAGCAGCTTTCCCAAGTTGCTCTTTGCTTCTCCCTCTGCTGATAACAGTGGTGGTAATTTCAGAGGAGTTTGGTTCTTGACATCTGTTCATCTACTCTAAACCCAGAGGTCTACAAATAACCTTGTGTTCAGGGAGGAGGTTAAAGGACTGTCAGTGTGGCCAGAACAGATTAAAATGTGGTTTTGCTCTTTTTTTTTTTTATGGCCTTGTTTAAAATCTAAGTTTTGTTTTGATTTTTATATTTGTAAAATAAATCACTTGCGTTTCAAATACAAAAATAAACTTTTAATGCATTTGGTTTAACCTTTCTCCCATGTCTCTAGTTGGTTCTATAAAACCAAGTTTCATTTTTTTCTTTTTTAACCTTATTTGTTCTGTTCATTGTGTAGGGGAAAATTTTTGTCTTGTAATAGCTTTCTGTTTTAGGACAAATGTAGCTACCTAAAAGTGATATAAGAAAATCAAGGTACCCTTATGATATCTCAACCAAATAGTCTGCATGTCAGAGATGTAAAATGCCATTATGGCTGTTTGGAGAAATTCAGCTGAATTATGAAATGATTGGCTCTTATTGATGTATGTTCTAGTAATCAAAAGACTTGATCAATTTAGACTTTCTGGGCAGGAGTGTGGACCTCCTACTGTTTGAGTCTCATTAAAAGGGAAACATAAGCAGAAGTGTGTGTGTTGCATTAACATGGTCTATAGCACTGGGTTGCAAACCGCTTGTGAGTTAAGTAAGGCTATAAATATGTAGTATTAATGCATGTTCTGCATAAAATGCTGCAGTCCCACGTCTGCTTGCCCCTCTTTTTCCAGGACGGAAAAGATCGCTTTTCCACAGTAATCCATGTATCTTTCTATCCTACAATCTGAGCAAAACTTAACCTGCCGACTAGGTCAGAACATTCTCAAAATTCTGCCTTCTGTTTCTTGTATAATTGAAATAATTTCAAGCTCCTACATGTTTCTTGTTCTACTGGAAACATAGTTGTATGTTTGTTAGAAGTGTGATGCTGCATAAATACTAAAAGACTACTGTTACTGTTTTGTTTTCCATATAAAAAAAGCCTTTTCTATTTTTTGTTTTTCTTGTTCTGGGAGTAGTGTGATTCTCTTGCATGTTTTTAAGGAAGGATTTATTTTGCCAAGTGAATGCATATATTCAAATCTACAACTCATGCAAAATTAAAATCTATGAGTAATTACTGATGAATATTGTGACGTTAATGCTTTGCACACTAATTATAACTTTGGTTTTCTAATGCAATATATCTGTTTTATGTAGCTGAATGTTTCTTTAAATGGCTTTGCTTAGTTGTGTCAGAGTTAATCTTACTTCATGTATAATAACCTAGTTTTAATGAAATAGTAAATAGTTTCCCTCTTGATCAACCTAGACAATTCTTATTTTAGTTAGATGCTTTTGAGCAAAGCCATTTAGCTGTTTTACTAGTCCTTAACGTGTCTTACATGGAATTTTCATGCGTAAGTTTTTAAGTCATGCGGAATCGTTGCTCGTGTAACATATTGCAAAGCCTAGTGTAACCTTGAACCATATGGAATTCTGACGTTGTGTTTAAATTTGTCTCATCAGCTTTATTTCCATTGAGAAAACAAAATTAAAATTTGGTAGAGGTATCTAAACTGCACTTTTTCGTTATTTCCTTCCATCTTGAAAACAAGAAAAAATGAAAAAACTTGGACCCTACTGCTCAAGATTAATCTAAGAAAAAAGAGGGCTGAGGCAATATAGAATGAGGACTAGTGGATGGTGTGAATTTGGGGATTTGAACTCGAGTTCAAAATTAGTATGTAGATCTGCATAGTTTGTTAGCTTTCATGTTTGATTATTTTCTAAAGTTTGGTCTTTAAAAAATATTTTCTTTCTTTTAAACTGTTACTAGCTTTTAAAATATACTTAGCTCAATCTGGTAGCTTTACAAAAGTCTAACCTACAGAAAATTGTAAGTAAGTAAGCTCTGTTGGGCTGATGCTATACTTCACTAGCACAGCTAAATTGGAATTATGGCTCTGATGTGCCTCAATATTTGTCTATAAATCACTTTTTTTTTTTTTTAACTTTGATTCATTCTGTCTGCAGTCCTTGTAACAAATTCTTTGATGGTCAGTGTCTGCAATTAGATTTCATTATTGTTAGCTGTTGTAAATACAGTGTTGAATGTTTCTCTGGTTGTGATATTATGTAGTCTTTCTCTTATTGTAGGTTTTCACTACATACAGCAGCAGCAAATCAAAGCAAAAAGGTGGTGTCACATACAAAATTTATTTTGTTGTTCTTTTTTTTAGCTACCTCTTAAACCAATGAAAACCAAATCCCTCACTTTAGAGCCACCAGCTACTCCAGAAGATGGCAGCAAAACACAGTTGCAAACTGCTTTTACTGTAGACTGTTGAAATCACAGCTTAACACATGTGATGATATATATGCACTGATTCAATCCTATCCATTGCTGATAGACATGAGTCAACTGGTGAGCTAACAGACCGAGATCTGTCTGTCTGCAAACCATTGGATTTTCAGGTCATGAAATAGGACTACCTGGCAGACAGTTCCTGGTGTGATGCAGCCACCTGAAGTGCTCTGGTACCCACCAGAAAATAAAATAAACTTGCATTTGTCAGAAATGTAACAAATGGAATTAAGTTTATGCTGCAGCTTTACCTTGCGGGGATAAGACGCAGAAATGAAACAGCTGATGTTTTGCCATTGTGTGTGGGCGTAGGCAGGGGAACAGATGGAGCTGCCAGCAAGGACTGCAGAGGTCATGTTTCCTCTGCACAGGCAGGCTTCACCCTGCCCTTCCTCCTGTGCACCCTCCTCCTCCTCCCATCCACCCTCACCTCCCCACTGAACGCGTGCTCTTTCCTTATCCAAATCCAGTTCCCTGCACTGAGCAGAGAGGACTGTGATGGGGAGGCCACCAGCCAAGGCACTGCCTGCATGGGGAGCGGTGAGAACAGCTGGGGAAGGTGCTGGTGTTTGGGGAGAGCACTGGCCTCTCTACCTGTTCCAGTTTGGTTGGGACTGGGTCGAGACAAATTGGCTTATGATGCGTTTAGGTAGTGCCTCGTACGGTGTGGTGCTTTCCCAGACCAAGGCCTGTGGGTGCTGCTGCTATGTAAGTGGTAATGATCGTTTTGGCTTTTCACAAACCGTTTTCCACACATTGTTAATCTGACATTCCTAATTCAGTTATACCAGTA